TTTCAAACCCTCTACGAAAGCTCACTACCGCTCTCCTCCAGTGAGTTGAAGACATGATTCGCTCTGGACGACCTTCAACATCGTCAAGTGTTGAAAATATTAAAAAAAAAAGTGTTGGACATAGTGCTTGAAAATCAAGAGTTAGAGAAATAGCAAGAAGGTTAACATCTCTGGCGTGTCTGTTCGAATGAATTTGGTGAGTATTTTGGGTATTACACGCGTTCTTGCCCAAATTGTCCCGATAAAGCTGATGTTTCAAAAAGAATACCGTAAAAAGGTCTCTTTTCACATTCATGGAGAGCATTATAACTGCCGATAGAACATGAATTTATGAGTTTGACATGCAAACAAGTCAACAATCATCGGAATGGAGCGAAAAAACGATCCGAAACAAAATACAACTACGCCAAAGCCGCTCAAAAATCACGGTGGAGCTCATTGTTTTTTTGATATTTTTTGTTTGGTGCATCATGAATATGTTTCGAGGGGACAGACGGTTAATAAGGAGTTCAATTTGGACGTGTTGAGGCGTTTGTATTAGATATCCATCGAAAACGGCTAGAATTGTGGAAGAACAATTCATGGATTTTACACAATAATAATGCACCATCGCATCGGGCCACAATTGTGACCAAATTTACAGCCGCGGCGTGGAACCCGTTTACAGTCGATCGAAGGCCATTCCAAAAATAAGCTTTAGAAAGGGGTTTCGGGGGCTGGAAAAAATCGTTGGCATAAGTGTATTACATCTGGTGGATATTACTTTGATGGCGACAAAATAAATATTAATGAATTATTGATTTTTTATTGTAACAATTCCCGGGTACTTTTTTTGTCGTAATGTATAAAGAATGTATTTACTAGTGCTCTTAAAAAATCATTTATCTGTTTTATGAAATCTGCCGAGTACGTACTATATTCAAATTCTATTCAAGTGTCGTATACACGAMCTAAGCTTTGCTCTACTTTTTGGGCATTATGCAAAGATACATCTCACACACTCTTCTATATATTTATATTTATATACGGTGTATATATTGACATACATAGGTGGTGTATGGGTGTTTCGGCACGCACTTCATACATATCTCATAATTTCGGGCTAATTTGCGCTGCCAACACTAATTGCGTAGATATTTTTAAAACAAATTCGAAATTTCCGGAAACACCTTCAAAATAGTTGTAACAGGCCAATGTGGCCCAGCAGCAAAACAAACACAAACAATTGTCTTAAAAACTCAAGTAAATAAAAATAAAAATTGAGAGGAGGGCAAAAATGCCAAGCGCGCGAACAGCAGACGACCCAGTCGTTAAATCAAACAAGCCGGGCGAGCGCCCAGACAGGCATTGCGGCAGGCTGAATGCCGCTCGTGCGCCGATGGTGGAACTGAAGGTGTTTGGAAGCGTTTTAAGTGCTTCAGTGGAGGTGGCATGTAGTGTTGCGTGTGTGTATGAAGTACTGTAGTACCTTTAGTACTATATTTATGGTTTATGAGATTTTCGCCTGCAACACTCCCACTAGCTCAAGAGCCCAAGAGCCCAAGCCATTATGCAACAAGCCAATATAAACGGTTCGGAAAAATTGCTATTTAAAAATGGGTATGAAATAGAAATACAAATAGCGCGAGGCACAGTGGGTTTTGGGCGAGAAAATATGCCATTTTTGGGTATTTAATTTTTGTAATAGATGCTAAACTTGTTAATTTATATATAGTTTGTAATAATTTTTATGGAACTTAGCCATACAATATAATTATATGAGTAGAGGAATATATATATGTTGTTGTAGCGGCAGAAAGCATTGCTGAAATAACTTGTCCCAAAGAGACCTGTTTACGGTAAAAAAAAAATCAGCTTTGTCGGGACGAATCTAGCAATAACGTGTTTCATAGCCGAAATATCCACCAAAATCCATCGAACGGACCCTCGAGAGTTGTCGAACTCTCTTGTCATCTCTCTAAAACTTGTCTGATGATTTTCAAGCCCCATATCTTTATTGATATATTCAGCCGTTGATAACGCCGAAAGCCGTCCGTAATGAGGCATATCTTTAACGTTCTCTCGACCGTCATTGAAGGTCTTGTACCTTTCGTAAGCTTATGTTTCACCGTAAGCCTTCTGGCCTCTCACCTCGGTTAGAAATACAAACGGGTCCGTTCCGTTTATTTAGACCTGACTGTCGCGGGACCGATATCACAGGAGTATATGTAATATTCGTTGATTTTATGCCAAAAAAAAGAAGAAGTTATTGAGGTTAGGTCGACGTGTTGGTAAAATGGACCGATTAGGGTCGATTTATCAAAATGCTTTTTATGCTGTTTCAGGTTCAGATGTTTTGTGTGAACAATCGATCTGCTGTAGTATATAGTTTCTTTTCTTGCTTAAGGTAAATAAAACTTCAAAAATTTTAAAATTATGGAGGGCGATACCACGGTGCTACCCTGCATTAAAATGGACCAGGTATCATACTTGGCATGCCAACAAATATGAAATTGTTGAGGTTATGTTGCAATAAAAATGTTTTAGTTGTACTACAAATATGTTGTTGTAAGTACAATTTCTCTAAATACCATATATATGAATTGCTGGCAAAGACTAAGCGTCTAAAATAGTTGTAACGCGCAAACGCGTTGCCATTTATATTCAATACGCGCCTGCAATCTCGCAAACTACAGAGGCAACAACAACAAGAACAACTGTGATAGGTAGGAGCATGTATGTATGTATGGTAGTGTATGAGAGTAACGACGAAACATACATATGTATGTGCCGCCAAACGCCTCCTTTTCCATGTAACCGCTCATAATAATTTCTTTTAGCAGCTGTTGTTGTTGTCATTTGTTATTGTTGTTCAATTTTCCACAAACAAAAGTCATTCATTGTATGCTACTACGTCGACGTGGTTAGTGACTTTTTCCGGCTTTCGCTTCTCCGCCGATCTCGACTTGGCAGAGTGAAAAGTAAATAACAACAACAACAATAATGTTGGCAACTTCAAGGAGTGAGTTATTGTTGTTGTCGTTGTTGGCAACCAGCGCATCCGTTGCAAGCCGCGTATAGCGCACGGCAACAACAACAACAACTACAACAAATAATACACTACTACAGATACAGCAACAACTACAATAACAATAACAACAAGTTTTAGTTAATGTCGGCAACACAGCCTCGTTCCCTTACAATTATCTCTATACAAAAAATATTTGCGCATACCCACACCCACAAACACAACTGGAATGGAGGCAGGCGGTGGTGTGCGCCTGCGCAACCTTACAGCATCTTTAAAGACGCTTGAATACGGTGTATTTACTGTACATAAAATAAAAACCGCAATAAAGCATAAAAATAAAATTGCCAAAAGTAAACTCGCCCGAGCGGGTGGCGATCTCGAGCGCGGGGCATGCCGGAGCAGGCGGCCGCCAGGCTGAAACTGTAATTTATATCATTCGGCCCCAGCCAACCGCGTCCATGTCTATTGCCAACTGAGTTGGTTAGTAAGTTAGTTAGGCGCATTGCAACAGCGTCGCGCTATAAAACTTCAAATTTCATTGTATCCAAACAAAGCAGAGTTAGCCGGGCATGCGCACGCTCACAGGCTCCAATCGAATTCGAATTCGAATTTACCAGTTGCTGGCTGCGCAGTACAGTGTTTTGCAGCGAACGCCAGAGACACGCCTCTATCGCTGCGCTGCGATCTAGTTCGCCGGTGACGAGCGAGTTTTTATTTGCTGTCTGTCTGTCTGCCTGTGTCTATGGCGCACGGTTTTCCGCGTTTGGCCACTTGCCTTTGAAACCATAGAGCTGCACCGAGCCGCTCACAAGCCGCGCGATTATTTCGCTTTATTGGTCTACAACTGATAGCTGGTGGACGTGTTCAGAAGATTCCACCAACACCAATTGCAAAAATGCTGACTGATTCTTTTTTTGCAAACAGTTTTTGGTGAAATTACTTAGAAAATAGATGTATGTGAGTGATAGGCCCACTAGTGTTGTGTGGATTAGAGAAGAATACCCTGCGGAGGAAATTTTAATATGCTCCACTTGTATGAATTTTTCTAATGGTAAGGTAAGGTTTACTAGATGAGTAATATCAGTGGAGTGAGACCTAGATATTTAATAAATTCGTCATACTGACCAAAATTATCCGTGTTATTACAAAGATTTTAAAAAATTAGTAGCTTTATTCAATCAAGAGACAGTGGCTCCGATGGCTAGGTCATGTCGTCCGAATGAAAGAGCAGGTGGAGAAGGACCTGGCTACATTTAGAATCTCTAATTGACGTCAAACGACGAAAAGGAAGAACGACTGGCGCGCTGTTGTAAACTCGGCTATAATCGCGTAAGCGGTGTCTACCCCAATAAAGAAGAAGAAAAGCAGTGTACGACGTACGTGCGATCACTACACTATCGTGTAGTACATTCTCATTGACAGTTATTGTAACTCAGTCCAAATGGACCGTCTCAAGAATCGATTGAATGCTGTTATAAGGCGACTATTCTTCTTCGTTCAAAAAATAGTTGAACGTCTAACATTAGTAGATTGCAGATTGAGGGTGTATGAGACATCAGGCTTTCCCAAAGTTTACATTGGTCATGTCCTGCGTGAAATATCGGGCACCGTTAGATCACAATAGCCTTTTAGACTTTGATGCTGTTTAAGAGCATTTCGAATATTTTGACGGGAATATCAGAAATGAAGGAACTTTACCCGGCGAATCTGCTCTGAAAAAGGCGAAGATTGTGTGATGGTCAGCTCGAGTGAATTTCTAGCACGAAAAAGCTTCCAAGAAGGTCTCATACTTTTGAACATCAAGTGAGCTTCCACCATCTGGGATGAAGCTTCGCAAAGCATATATACAATTATTTTGGGAAATACTGTTTCAAAGACCTATTCTTCCGTTACTTATACCATATTAATTCTTAAAATGTATATTGAAACATACACTTCTTTATGTCTGAAAAATCCCGAATATTTATGTATGTATATATCTATTACTTACTTTCTTCATCAATTCCGTTTATCGACAGCGGTGCGAAACATCCAACAACACATCCTTCAACTTTTACGCTGTCAAATCTGTTTCAGTTAGGTCACTGTGTGTTTGCTTGTTGTTTATAGCTGCAAAAAGGATTAAGAAACGTGGTATGTAGTGAAAACTAAATTTAATTATAAATTCAAAGCACATGAGTACACACATACATTAACAAATGTGTGTGTATATAAATTTCGAAACTGCTTATTGGCAGCAGGATAATAGTTTGCACGGATTTGAAAACAAAATAAAAATCTATAGTCAATCAGCTTAACAAGAAGTTATTCAATGAATATTTTAACTAATTTCCGATGGCATATATAAATATGTGGGTGTGTTGCGGCCAGTGTGGTGAAAAGCCGGAAATTAAATTTGATAAAACGTAAATGATAACTAAGATGAATAATGTGTTAAAGTTATAGTTAAAACAAAAGGGCAGCACAAAGGGGAAAGATGACATGAGAGATAAGGAAGAGAGGTTTTCGCAATATAAAATTGATAATATTAAAAAAAAAAATCAAGGAATTTTGTTCATCGTAAAACTTATGAAATTATTTGGAAGACAAAAATGATAAAATTAATTTAATTTAGAAATTTGATCGAAGTTAATGAAGAATATGGTGTGGACGTGGGCAGAAAGCTTGTAAGAAGATAACTCAACGCAGCTCAACGTTTCGGACGAATTAACAGGAAGAAACCATTCCGGTCCCGGTTCCGACTGGTACTCGTATTTGCAAAGGTGTACAGAGATGAAACAGCACAATTTTGGAGGAACGTGTTTGGGGCGACGAAACCTAGATAAATACGATGGGTCCAGTAGAAAAATATTTGAAGGTCATCCACAAGGTAGATATACCAAAAAACCATTAAGCTCGGCGGAGAAAGTGTCATAATTTGGTTTCAAAATGGTAAAAATGGACCGGCGGTATCAGTATTTGGATATACTGAAAAGTTAAATGGAGCCACCTATGTCCATAAACTGGAAATTTATGCAAGACAATGGTCCGAAGCACACCGTAAAGCATTGGCTCGACAATGAATATCTTACCCTATTGGATGGGGCGAGGCAAAGCCCGGACATGAATCCAATAGAAAATTTATGGAATGATGTCAAACCAAAATAGCAAGCAAAATATTCCAAAAATTTGATGATCATTTATTGCAATACTAAAGAAATATCTATCAAAAATTATAAAAACTTAATTGCCTTATTCTTTCCAATCTCGTTTTTTTCCATCCAACTTGTATATAAATCAAGTTTAGTCGTTTTTCCCCGGATTATTAATCAAATGGCGCCCATAGTTGGTGTTTAATAAGTGTTATTAATATCGTATACTATATGTACTCACTCACATACAAACCAACTACTCCAAGATATGCACTTCTTAGTTGCCGCACTAGTATAAAGGCAATTATTGCAGTAACAATGCAGTTATGTTTATTACTAATGATAGTTTTATTAGCAATATATACTACATATATATATATACAAACATATATACATAAGTATTACGTACATATAGTATATATAGTATATATGAGCTGCTTCATATCACCGCTCACTCTATTTACTAGACAACAATTAGCCGAGCGCTGTCATTGAGAGCTTATTGCGCAAACGCCTGTGATTGGCCAAGCTGTTAATGGTGCAGATACATATTTATCTATGTATGCAATGAATATGTATCCAATCAGATTGTTGTAAATATAGTATAGTATAGTATTATAGTACTGAGTGTCTTAACTCAGGTTAGGTTGGCGGAGACTAGTTTTAGGGAAATAGGTAGGTATATTTTTTTGTGATAAAAAATATATATGACCAAAAGGAAATAAAGAAAATTGTGATTCGTTTATAAAAAATATCATGCATGTCGAACGGTTCGTTTCGTTTCTAAGAGGAATTTGGAATTTAATAGTATATTTTCTATAGTACATACATAGATCTACATCATACATAGATCTAAATTTTAAAAGGTAGGTATATAGCTGCTGAAATTATAAAGTCTTTAGATGTATTTTGTCATGGAGCTTTATTATTCGTTGATAAGTTCTGTGAGATCTGGGCGATGAGCTCAGCAAACTTTTAAAGGAGATTGCTACGGAGAAAATAGTTCTGCAAAATGAAGTTGGTTGAGACAGCTGATACTTCAAAGATAATAAAGAAATTTGTTAGATGCATCGTTTATGAAAATTTGAATATTTCGAAAACTCTATGCAATGTAGGAACGCGCGAGCTAACAAGAAACTGACTCAACGTCTCAAAAATCAATGAAAACCACGAAAAAATTGCAAGTATTAAACTTTCAATTACTTGCGCATGCACTATATTCTTCAAATCTAGCTAAAATCTGTTCTCAGACCGTATGAGAATATTCGCTTATAAGAAATTTAGCAATATTGAGAGAAAATCAGAGAAGCGGAGGTGTTTTTTGAAGAAAAAGTCAAATATATAGTACATCAAACAACAAATCGTATTAAAAAAAGTATTTGAAAAGTTGAAATATCTTTAAAATCGTTGCAATGCTCTCGATGTCTCATATTTTCTATATTAAAATCAAATTTGGTCAAAAATTATTTTTTTCTCTTTAAAAGAATACGAACTTTTCGGATACTGTGTAATCTGCTTCAACAGTCAAAAATTTCATAGTCCTTAGACCTCGCTTTAACCTGATTTAATAACTAAATTATAACCTTGTTTATAATATTATTTTGTTTTTAACAATGTATGAAAAGCAATCACGAATTCGCCTTTTATGGAGTTAATCGAGTAAAACCAAAAACTAGTTCAAGCATTACGCCAATACTTAACAGCAATTCTATGGCACATTAACACTTTAAAATAATACATAAATACATAAGAATATATACGTAAGTTCCCACACTAAGTTCACATATTCTGCAAATACAGTGTAAAAAATTAAGATCATTAAGAAAATCATAGTGGTAGATCAGAGATACTTGAGTGATTGCTTCAAAATACTATTCGTTTCGCTGCATAAATGGCGTTACAAGGGTCATACATAAAGGAAGGTAAAAATATAAATTCGGACTTTCGTGAAAATATCTCACCCAATGAAAAAGCTTTCCATAAAAGCACTTTATTCCGACCGTTCAGATTGTATGGCATCTGAACCTTTTCAACGAAAATTGCAATAACTAAGACTGAATTGACTATAATTGTATTTCGAAATCCTTGGTTCCCACAAGATATCAGCTCTTGAAGCAGAAATTGCAGATCGAAATTTCAAAAACTGGGGGCTAGATCGCGTATGTACCGAGAGATAGAACTTGTTTACTAAGTCATCATACCACAAAAAAGTATTCCGATATTGACTTATTTAATGGAGAAACCGATATACATCTTTTAAGGGGTTTTAAAAATAAAGAAAAGGCAGTACGGTATGATATGTCAAGGTCCAAAATTTAGAAAGAAGCAATCGCATATTTTCTTTTTTAATTCAATTATCGCTTAGTTCCAACAATCCTTTTGGTCGGAATCGATGTAAATTCCTCGAAAAACTTTAACTGCTTTTAAAGCTGAATGTTCGCAGTTGTACAGGATACTATTATTCCTTCAAATTCGTGTACATTCGCTTATGAGTTTCGAAAAATATTCCTAAAAAATTATTATTTACTACAATACTGTACATGGGTCTAAGTACAGCACACCCGTGCAAACACTTTCTGACGGCTAACAATCAACAAGAGTGTCTTCACGAGTTCTTTACACCTCTTTTGGTGAGCAATAATGGTTAGAATGAATGAAAGGAACAGCACAAAAAACAAAGATAAATAACATTCATAGAACCATAATAAATTTTTATGATGCGGTTTCAAGCGAAAAAATTGGTAACAAGCTGAAAATGAGTTGTTCAAGAAGCTGCGATGATGGCTTATTGAGCCAGCGAAGGTGAGCTGACGCGAGCAAGTGTAAGAAGACGCTGCGCAAAGTGGTCCGACGAGCACTTACGGCCGCAAACGTAATTGTTGTAATTACTTGTGTTATTAGCTTTTTTGTTGTGTTAATTTTTAGTTTTACTGCCGAATTTAAAGTGATGCTCGCTTTAATGGATGCTTTAGTTCTAATTTAGTTTTGCGCAGAGAAAACACTTAAAATATTTCCGAAATTTTTGTTTTAACGTCTTCGCGATGCTTAGTGCTTTAGTTTGATATTTATGTGTTTTTACATTTTTTTATATTTTGTTTTTAACTTCTGTTGCAAGTTAATTTTGTATGGCGAAACTTGTCACTGTCGCTTTGAGACTTTATTACAGTAGTTTAGCACCCACTTTTGTCTTTGTGGTACTTTTAGTAACTAAATATGTAAGCATAATGGTCTATTGCTACATTCCGCGTTGGCTTGTTGACTCATGGAGCATCAAATGCTCGGGTTAAGGAGTTGTACAATTTGTCTTCTTGTTGCCTTATGAAGGTGCCACACACAGCAGCCCGCTAGTCAGCAGTGTAAATATGTTGGTATGTGTATGCAAATGGCCAACTACATTTTTATGGATCACCACTTAACTGTATTTCATGTAGCAGCATCTCTAAGTGCTTGCACCCAGTTATGTTAATAAATAGCAAATTTGTAGCTTTTTGTTGTGCTTTATTGCGTTGTATGCCAAATGTCAGATAAAAATCACCTAAAAACTGCTACTTCATTTATTTGACACTCAAAATTTTCATCTAGGCACCACTTGGATTACGAGCAATTGTAATAGTCTAATTTATTGAAGGCAAACCAAACAACCAGGTTGTGATTTTGACCATAAAAATGTTGATGTACATGTGTATTGGTGTGTGTGTGTGTGTTTGAGGTTTGGTAATTGGCAAATACACCCCTTTCGAGTAGCTGTCACTCTTATTTCATGCCGTTGCAAAGGTATTTGTAATACAAGTAAAGGTAAATTAATTAAATCGGTTGTAGAGTTGCGTATATACTGTAACACCTATCTAAGGTGGATTTGCTGAACAGAGTTGCCACATCAACTGGAATAAATTATCTAAAGAAGCTGGAAATATTTCAATTTTTAGAATAGATAAATTCTTTAATATGTCCGCCTGAACGGAAATATACCTATGTATC